CGCGGGCCCGGGAGTCGCGAGCTCAGGAGGTGGGGGGGGGGGGGGTCTCGGGAAGAGGGCTGATGGGGCCGAGCGTCGCCAGGACCAGAGCCTAAAGGGGAGGAACGCCGAGGTGGAGACTTGGCGGAGGTAAAACAGGGGATGCTGTGCGGATGGTTCGCGGAGAAGGCAGGACGGATCGGAGAGATGGCAGCGAGGTGGGGCGTGAAGGCTCCAGAAGCCTCACAGGCCCAGAACCCGGGTTCAAGAACCCAGGATTGCGGGTATTAGGAACCGAAGGGAACTGGGAACCGGGAAAGGGGTGTGGTGGATGATAAGAACAGGACTGTTGCTGCCGGGGGTGGGGGGGGGGTGGGGGGTGATTGAACCTGGGGGAATGGAAAAGGACCAAGAGAGGCCCATCTTTGAGAAAGCCTGGGGTGGAAATGGGAAGGCCGTATCTTTTGTGACTCAGTTTTCTTTTCCCTACTCCAGGTCACCTCTGACCCTGTTTTCCTAATCCCAGACCTAGTTACTTCGTGAAGGGGGCACTGAGGCTCGGCAGTGTGAGTCTCCCAACACTAATAAGAAAGACAGGAATACAGAAGGGGGAATTAGAAAGGTTGGGAGGTTGGGAAAGAAGAGAGAATTGGGCAATCTTGTAGGCATTCCAAGGAATTGTGACCTCCACCCTCATCCCCTCAGCATTGGCTGCCCAACAGCTGGTCTCTATCTGGGAGGCCTTCCTTACTTCTTTGATCTCAGAGGTCTCCCTTTGTGCCTGGGGCAGGTTACCCTAAAGCTCCTTTCCCTGAGGATACTGTAAGAAGGTCGGAGTTGCTTTGGCAACTGAAGTGGTAATAGTGGCTGCCAGATGGACCCCTGGGATGGTCTCTGGAGGGGTACTTTTTTTCACCCATTTTGTTGCCATGGCTGTGATCCAGTGGGAAGTTCTATAGGTGGGGATTCAGTATGTAGATCGGGCCTCAGCCTGTAGCTATGTCCTACGGGCTCTTGGGAGGGGATCTGGGATATTTTCTGGTGTTGCCCCAAGTAGGGGTTTCCTAAGGAGGTTCACCCTTTCTCCCTCAGTGATCTGTTGGAACAGGTAGCACTGTTGCTTGCAGGTCATTCTTGCAAGCCTCTTCCTGGGTATGGTGGGAAGACGAAATATACTGTTGTTCACACTACATGGTCTTGGGCTGGGGGTAGCTCAGTGGTATGTTAGTTCCTAATATGCATACAGAGGCTCTGGGTTTGAGACAGAATAAAAAACCAAGTTCTATCATCCTGGGCAATTTCTTCTGGCCTCTCCCACCCTTATGTTTTATAAGTGGTTGACTCTCTACATGATTTTACTTTCTTGAAGTCCTCTTTGGATCTCTTTCCTCTTTGTCAGTTCCCAGGGTGACCCCCTTCATTCAACCAATCTTTGACCTTTTACTTTTCTGAACTTACAAAAATGGCATGGCTCTCCATGCCTGTCTTTAGGTGAGTGTGGCCCAAGGGAGAGGGCTATGGCACAGCCTGGAGCAGAATGGGGTGCTCCGGAATGGGAGCTGGGAGACCAGGGTGTACTCTGGCTGTGTCTCTGTGACCTTGGGCAAGTCACTTCTATTGTCTTTGAGCTCCACCTTCATTGTCTAATGAAATGGCCTCTGTGGCTCCTTCAGCAGTCCTGGGTTCTAACAAGACTTAGGCTACTGCTTTGTTAGCCTGCTGCTCTGTGCTTCATGGATATCTTGGTCATTTTCAAGTGATTGTCAGGCAGGCAGGTCTGGAATGATGGAGCCTACTCAGTGACCCTGAAAAAATAGACTCTGTAAGCTCTTCCCAGGGAGCCTGTGGCGTGGTCATTTTCTGACATTCTCGTATTATTTGTTCCTTAATTTCTTTCTTTGAAAAAAGTTTTAATTGCATTTATTTATTTTGTGTGTGTGCCCTGGTGCACATGTGGAGGTCAAAGGGTAACTTGGTGTTGAGTTGATTCTCTTCTGCCATGTGAACCTCATGGTTTGATTCAGGTCATTGGTTTGGTAGTAATATATGTTTTTGGTTTTTGAGATGGTCTTCTATTCTATAGCCCAAGCTGGCTTGACTTGAACTCACTCGCTACAGAAGATGACCTTGAACTTGTGATCTCCTCGCCTGTACCTCTGAGATTGCAGGCATGAGCCACACCCTGTTTTATGTGGTGTTGGAATCTAACCCTGGGCTTCGGGCCTGCTAGCCCAGCACTCTACACACTGATCTGCATTCCTAGTCCCTCTCCTTTTCCCTCCTGTGCTTACTGAGGGACTCTTGATTTCTATTTCCTTGCCTGCTGAGTTTGGTCTCCCATGCTTTCCTTTTGAGTAAGGAAATGGTAGCAGAGGGTGCTGTTGTCCATGGTAGATGCCCTGTAAGTGTTAGCAACAGCCTTCTAGGCAGGATGGAGTGCCACTTGGTCAGTTGGTGGTAGAATACCACCCAAGTCCAGACTTAACTATGATCTGACCTCAGTCTCAACTCCATATACCCCTCTCCCCCGCCATTCCTCATCCGGGAAATTACTGCCCAGTTGATGCCGGTTTTTTTTTCTCTTCCAAAGCTACTCATTGCAAATTTTATCAGATTTCAGCTGATTAAAAAGGTAAGAAAGGCACACAGTGATTGCTCTGTTCTCCAAGGAACTTTAGTATAGTTTTTGACCTTTTGGATCCTTTAGAATCAAACTGACTTGGTAAACCAGTCCTGTGATGGGAGGAAATGGGCGCCCTGTTCGGGGAGGGCGACAGATGCAGCCACAGGCAGTGTTCTTTCCTGTCATTGCTGACATTGGTGTCTGCTCCTCTTTGGTTCGGTTCTGTCCTTGGACATTTGTTTATTCCCCCTCCTTCTCTTTTCCCATTTGTAGTTTTATTTGAGACAGGATTTCATGAAACTGGCTGACCTTGAACTTGCTATTTGCTGAGGGTGGCTGGTCCTGCCTCCACCTCCCAAGTGATGGAATTACAGATGTTGTCCCCATGCCTGGTAATGCATAATATTTTAAAACCAACCCACAAAACAACTTTTAAAAATGTGGTTATAGCTGTAGTTGAAGTAAACTGGTTTACTGGGCAAACATCAGTTGAAAGTTTAGACCTGGGGCCCAGTCCCATCTATTTCGTGCCCCTTCAGTGTAAGTTAAGTTACCTGGAAATGTTAGACTTACTTGTTCCTCATTGCCTGTCTCAGTGTGGTTCAGTGGGGTTGGGCAAAAGCAATTACTCTGTATTCCGTGGAGAACCACACCTTCCAGTTCAGAGTGGATGGGTAAATGTAGTCTATTTTCACGTGGGTTACTATCAGCTGATTCAAAGGACCTGCCGAGCCTAGGGTATACCTATACTTGAGACCCTACCTCAAAACAAAACAATAACCAGACGAACTTGCTGACATTCACTTGGTTTAAAGGTCATTGACAATAGTACACTTGCCTGGATGAGCTGCTCACTTACAAACCTGGTCTTGGCAAACTGAAATGGAAGAGCCCTGGGTTTAGTTTAAGGCTGGTACAAAGAGCATAGAGTGACGTTGTCTCAGATAAGGAACACAGACCCTATATGTGTGTGCTCATGACATCAGTGGAAAAATATAGAAAGGAAAACTATGACCACAACAGTTTTTGCTCTTAAAATATCTTAATAGGCTGGGCCTAGTGGCACACACTTTTAATCTTAACATTCAGGAAGTAGAAGCAAGCAGATCTCTGTGAGTTCAAAGCCAACCTGGTCTACATAGTGAGCTCCAAGATAGCCAGGGCTACACAGAGAGACCCTGTCTTGAAAAACTAAAACAACAATTAAAACAACAACAATAGAGAAACAGACAAGAGAAAAGGTCGGGAGAAATGGCTCAGTGTTTTAAAGCACTTGTGGACTTGTGACTTGTGCAGAGGACCCAGGTTTTATTCTCAGCACCCACATGATAGATCATACCCATACTAACTCTAGTTCCAGGGTATCTGCTGCCCTCTTCTGACCTCCCCAGGGACCAGGCACACACGTGGTACACATACATTCAAGCAAAACATTCATACATAGAAAATTAAATTTAGCTGGGCAGTGGTGGTGCACGCCTTTAATCCCAGCACTTGAGAGGCAGAAGCAGGAGAATTTTTGTGAGTTCGAGGCCAGCCAGGTCTACAAGAGCTAGTTCCAGGACAGGTTCCAAAGCTACAGAGAAACCCTATCTCAAAAAACAAAAACAAAAATTAAATTTAAAAAAAATTATGGATGGTTTTATGGCATGGTTTACCTCTTAGCAAGAAACATAAACAAGTAGTGGGGCTAGAAATACAGGGGCAAATCCAGTGTACTTGCCTGGCATGCTTGAGGCCCTGGGTTCAGTGCACCAGCACCCGGGGAGTGAAGACTGGAAGATCAAGATGATATATCCATGTTTGTACTGCTAGATACAGGTAGGTAGGCTGCTCAGGCCGTGAGAACACAGGTAGATGACGATATCCATGTCTGTATGACTAGATACACACAGCGAAGGCTGCTCGTGCCAAGTGAGAAGCAGACTTGATTTTATAAGTCTGTATTGGATGTTCGCTGACATTTTGTCTTTTCGTGGTAGTAAAATCTTTGGAAGGGGCTGGAGAGATGGCTCAGCTGTTGAGAGCCCTGGCTGCTCTTCTAGAGGTCCTGGGTTCAATTCCCAGCACCCGCGTGAAAGTTCACAACTGTCTGTACTGACAGCTTCCGGGGACCCGACACCCTCACACAGACATGAATGCAGACAGAACACCAATGTATATAAAATAAAATTTAAAAAATATTTTGAGTTGGGTTGTTGAGATGGCTCACTGAGCAGAGGCACTTGCCACAAACCTTGACACCTGGATATGATCCCTAGGTCCCACATGGTGAGAAGGGAGAACTGACTGACAGGTTTTTCTCACACATGCACACCCCTCCCCTCAGCCAGTCAGTGTATTTTGAGTCTGGTTATTGTGAAAGCTTTGATTTTTCTTTTGAGCCCAGGAAACCCCATTGCAGCCATCCCTTTGATACCTGGGGGCTTTGTTTCGGTATCCTCGAGAGACACCAACATCAACACATACTCAAGTATTTTGTACAGAATGATGCTATGTCTGTTTATACCTGCACACTCCCGTGCTTTTAAAGTCACCTGCAGATCATGTACAGTAACCAATTCCATGTAAATCTTTGATAACGTCTACCTGTCCAAAACCAGGCAAAGAAGGTAGACAGTGAAAGCTGGAGGGAACCTGGGACCTGTGGAAAGGTGGCCACTACTGCAGGCTGTGCCCACGCATCATTCTTGTAGATCGAGCCTGGGGTGGCAATGTAGCAAATTTGAATTTTATTTGAAACTTTCTGGGAATTTTTCCTCCCAAATATTGTCAGTTTAGGTTGACTGAATCTCTGGACAAAAACGCTGTAAGCGGAAAAGGCCAACTAGAGGATGGATCCTTATGAGGCTGTCTAGAACGTTCTGCAGTTTTGAAGATACCTTGATTTGGGCTTGAGGCTGGTGAGACTGTGCTGCTCAGTACGGGACATTTGTCTACATTGTCTGACGTGAATCAAGATTGCTATCTGAGCGAGTGATGTAGGCTTCTTAGAATTCTCTCCACCTTCTGAGGAGAGTTTAGAAGAGCGTGTGAGCGTGGCGTTTGAAGTCAGATTGCAGAGGGCTTGGTTCGTCCCTGTGGAAGGTGGGGCAGGCCGCAGTCACAGTCAGTCTCTGAGCTTCAGTCCCCTTACCTATTAGTCCCCATTTAGAGTGCACTGGAGATGTGACAGGAAATCGTATGTAACATGCTTGACACAAAGAAGATACTCAGTAAACTGACACTTCAGCCTTGTTTTTTATGCTGCTTTTGAATTTGTAAGGTTCTAGAATTAAAGAGTGATTTTTTTTTTTTCTGCTGTTGTTTTGTTTGTTGAGACAAGATTTTGTTGTCTTGTTCAGGCTGGTCTTGAACATGTGATACTCATACCATAGCCTTCTGAGTGCTGGCACTACATGCACCCCCCCCCACCCCGATACCAGGCTACAGATTCTCTTTAGGACTTGTGAAGGGTAAAATCCTGCTGTGTTAGGGTGGGGTTCATAGGTACATCTGAATTTTCTGCCTTCCCTAGAGGTGAAAGAGATTATATTGTGAGTCTCTATCACTTAGCTGATGCAGCCTATGGAGCGAGCCGCAGCTTCTCGTATCTGTGCCTCTTGACCCAAAGGCTTAGGACTCTGCTTCTTTCTCAGACCCCTGCTGTTTCTGCTGTAACATGGAAATGCTGATGGTTTTTCCTAACAGGTTTCACAGAGAACACCCTGAGAGTACCACGTGCCTACAACTGCTCCCCGCTTCCCAGACCACAGCTGTGGGGAGCTTGGGGTACAGCATACGAGATTCTGTATTAAGCTGCCCAGGCAGAGGAGAATGGGGTCTCCACAGCCTGAAGAATGAAGACACGACAGAATAAAGACTCAGTGAGTAGTGAGTAGAAGCTCTAGTGAGCAGTAGGACAGGTCAAGGGCAGGGGCAGGGAAGCTAGGGGGAGGGGCCTAAAGTGGAGACCAGAAACAAAGTATAGCCGAAAGTGGAGACCAGAAACAATGTATAGCCGAAAGTGGAGAC